GCAAAGGAATAAGAAGGCAAAGTCATTTTCTGAGGCGCTATACATATTCAACTTAGAAAAAAAAATTCCCTACACTAAGTCCATAAACACATAAACCCAAGGATAAAAAAATAAAAGTATCTATAATTTTTAAATGAATTCTTAACTTTCTATAAATTGAGAAAGGTAGGCCAAACTTTTACTTATATAGTAATGGATGGTCATTCAAATTTTCACCCAAGTAATTGAAAGAAATGACAATATTTTATATTAATCAAAAGAGGGAGAGATACAAACAATTTTAGTTTCAACATATTTTCCTTGTGCCCCTTGGTGGAATCCAATTTTAGCAAAAGCCACTTAACACATATAATTACTAAATGAATATACAGGAAGATGTAAAACTTAGCTTTCATATCACAGTCTCAACAGTGATTAGTGTAACCTTATTTAACAAACAAGAAGAAAAAAACCCTCCATAATAAGCATCTAATTTTAAGAATACAAATGTTATTTTATGGAGTAGTGAGTAAATGAAGTTCCTTAAAGCAAATTGTTAATTACTGAATAGTGTGGTGTAAGATAAACTGTGTTTTGATAAGCACAAAATATCACCTACTACAATCACAAAATTTTGATATTCAAATGCATATTGTTTTCAGGTTTCAAAATTCTAAAATTCTGTAAGTTATATCACTTACAGAAAAATAACAAAGAGAAATAAATTAGAATTTCAAATGAAGGAAAACACACAAGAAACTTGGTAATGTAGTTAGAAGAAAGATCAAAGTATAAGTTCAAAATTATAACTATAGGCACACACAACTCTTTTACCTTAATGTCATGTGTTACTAAAATATTAACAATTAGATCCCTAGAATTAATTTAATGAATGTAAAACATTTATTCTAGTAGTAACTCAGCAGAACTTATATCCAGAGATGTTCTAACAAAAAAGTTACATAATGTTTTTTGTTATTTTATTTTTATTGCTAAAAGTATTACAAAGGGTGTTGCATATGTGTCCTTTTTTTTCCCCCCTACATAATGTTTTTGAAAATTCTTATTTAATACTATCAGCAGAAATGCCTTTTAAATGTGTGTATATATTTATATATGTAAAACATATATATATGTAATTTGTACACACATGGTAATTTAAAAATTGGTTATTTGTACCATAACATATTCATCAAATAAAATTTAGTTTGTTACCATCATAATCTTTTGAAAAATTCTGACATTTTTAGGTACCTTTAACATGGACAACTTTTACAATGCACAAACAAAAATAAAATTCTAAAACATTTATATAAAATATATATTTTCATTTAAAGTTATAAAACTAAAGTAAATCACACGCTCAAATAAAAGTTGTCCATAAATGATTCAGAGATCCTTCTAGTATGAGAAAGATGGTTTTATATTGAATATTAGACTAGGCAAGAAAATATTCGAATGCTAATCATTTATTTTTCTTAGCAGTGGCTTCAATTTCAAATCATTATCTTTTTTCATTGCCGTATCTTGAGAAAGTGGTTTGTACACTAAAGTAAAGTTTTCTTTGTGGCAGGAAATTATTCCTAATAAATTCAAATCAAAGTATTTCAGTACAGACAGAGGTCAAATGTAAGAGAGAGTCTAAGTAATTATTCGGAGAACCAGAGCAGGAAACTGAATAAAGGTGATAGGTTTGTGATATTTCCAAGTACCCATATTTAACTAGTTTTACCTCAACTAAGTTAATTAACTATACATTTCACTTATTAGAGGTTCTTAAGAAACAGCCCAATTTCAGTCAGGAATTGTGTCTACAGAATAGGCTTCTCCTACACAGTCAATTGCATCAGGCATGCTTGATAGGCTGACTATTAAACAGCTAGAAGAACTGAATTTATATGGCACAATCTGGCTCAACATTTGAAAAGAAATGGCTTGAGTGTTGACTAACAAGTTGTTAAAGATTGTGCTCATAGACACAGACAACTGTGTGGTGATTACCAGAGGAAAAGAGAGGGAGAGGGAGGCAGAAGAGAGTCAAGGGGGGATAAATGGTGACTGAAGGAGGTTTGACTGAGTGGTGAACACATAATACAATATACATATTATATATTATAGAATTGTACCCCTGAAACCTACATAATTTCACCCTAATAAATTCAATACAATTGAATGTCACCCCAATAAATTCAATAAAATTTTTTTAAAGGATAAGAAAGACTGTGCTCATATAACTTCTTTGAATGGTTCTATAGTGAATGAAACTGATACATAAAAATAAGTAAATTTCCTTTGATGACATGGGCACTTATCAAAAAATCTCTGAGTTTTAACAATCTAAACAACCAAAAAGCTACAAATACTCTAACATTTGGCAAAAGGAGGATGGTAGGAAATCTTAAATAGGTTTCATGGCACCCAAACTTTGTTAACTTCACTATAGTAACAGATGTGAAAATGCAAACAGAACCACCAGGTCTCTGAAAGAAGCAGATGAAGATCTCTAGCACCATTGAGAGGGGAACTAAAAGGGAAATAAATTTGGTAAGAAATACAAGTAACACTAGCAGATGCATATTTAGATAATATAAATCTATCACATGGCACTATCATATGTGCTCTGATGAGGGCACCTATCATCGTTCCCGGCAAAAGTTATCTTTTTATTTAACTTTTACACTCCTCTTGCTAAAAGGGAAATTTTCTTATAAAAATGAAAAACAAAAAACCATCTTTAACAAAATCTTAAATATGAACGCATTTTAAAACGTGTAAATTAATATGTACAATTGATACTACGAAGTGGTGGAGTACTTTCAGTAGTTTCCCACTATTTCCAGTTATTATAATTCCGTTAATTTATTTTTAATATTAGTTTAATTTACCAATTAATAAATAGAAATCATGCATCAAATTTATGTAATGGATAACTGAGGGAGAAATGCCACTTTTTCATACTGTATATAGAAAAAAAGTCAAATAATAAAATTTACCCTGTTAATGTTTGCACCTGTATTCACATGACCTGGAATAATCAATTCAGTTAACTTAGTAACAGCACTAATAAATCTAGTTAACACATTTCCAGTTGATAAGGATGTTTAACAGGGAGCCAGAAATCAGTGTGAAGGTAAACAGAAACGCCTGGAGAAAATAAAGTAGGGGAAGGATGAGGCTGAAGGCATGGTATGCTATCATGAGAGGGTGGATGAAACAAAAATGGGAAAATACTCTTTCTTTTCATTTTTCAGTTTTCCTAAGGCCTTGATAGTGGCAAGTACTTCCCTTCCCACTGCAAATGACTTTTTGGGTGACCCTTCTCAGGAGCACTATAAAGTACTGGAATCTATTTTTATGTTATGGGAAAGATAGTTATTTTTACATCTAGGACATTTTACAATTCCTTTGTGAACATTATGATTGTAAAGCTGGGAGGAAATTGCTTAATCTATGTAACCACTTATTTTATCGATAGGTGAACTGAGATGCAAAAATGGTATCATTTAGTTTATAATCTACATAAATATATTGGGACTAAAAGGTTTAGACATGCCATACCTATTGTTAGTACCTATTGTTAAGAAAACAAGAGACAAATATACATAAGAAATAATCCAAAAACACAAAGAAAAGGTTACAAAAAAGGAACTCTCCACTGAGAATAGCTACTATTCTGATGTTAGTAAGAAAAAGTGAGCTAGAAGTAAAGAACTTCAAAGAATGGATTAGGGAAAAGGCACTAAATGATGAAAGTGTAAACACGTAATCGTTACAAACAGAAAAGTATGTATAAAGTACTTACCAAGTACATGTTACATCTTGAAAATCCATAAAATGAAAAATGTAAAGTTTCTCATATTATTATTTTCTAACAAATTTGTTTCTACCTCTATTTCATTATAAAAACAAAGTATATGGTAAGATAAAAAAAAGGGGTGCTTGTGCTTATTTCAAATCCCCAGGCTCCTTTTACATAGGACATCTAGAAAATCAATCCCACTGCTACTTTAGCTAGGCAGTTCTAAATGACTACAGTCTTTTTATAAGCTTAGTTGAGGTGAAAATAGAAAGCTCAGGTGACAGAGTTTGATGATTTGATGCTTATAGCAATGATCAGAGCCAACACAAATATTTTTCATTGGAACTACCTAGATCCGTGGTCGGCAAACTGCGGCTCGCAAGCCACATGTGGCTCTTTGGCCCTTTGAGTGTGGGTCTTCCACAAAATACCGTCACACTCAAGGGGCCAAAGAGCCTCATGTGGCTCGCGAGCTGCGGTTTGCCGAGCCACAAGTTTGCCGACCACTGACCTAGATCATTGCTCCCCTAATTATCTACATCACTGTCTCTTTGGTAGAATAAAAAATGGCACATGGGTAAACATTTTTAATTTACTTTTAAAGAATGGATTTTAATATAACTTAGAAAAAATACATATCATTTTCTCTTTTAAAAGTGAATCAACTAAAAAATATATTAAGTAAACAGTATAGGTGCCATGAGAATATGGCCAAATTTAAATGTCTAAGGTGTGGGAAATGTTGCCCTTCATAAAGAAACTTCTCTGGCAATGAGCTAGTATAAATATTACTGGTGAAAGATGTGAAATTTCCAAACTAAATGATATTTTACTCTGTATATTACTTCTTGGTTTTTATCTCATAAAAAGCTAGTGTAAATCAACATAATATAAAAGTAAGTTCTTTGGGTAGAAATTTAAAAGATTTTACTGAATATCATTGAAGAAAACCTATTAAAGTTAGTATTAATGAGTGAGAATCCCCTCTCTTTTCTCCTACTATTAATGAAAACTTCCAAATTCATATAATTGTGGGGTGCATATCAGGAACATTCTGCATAATAGCACACATACTACATTCTGGATTAATACCACAATACTAAAAACCTAACACTTTCTTGCCCCAGCCCAATCTGTGTCGTTTTTTCTCTCCCTATATTGGAAAATGTCAATAGTGGCTACCAAGAGGCTAAATTAAACAAATAAAAACTCAAATACTTACTGTCGCTGGGGAGGCCCGAGTGGTATGCGTCACGGAGTGACCAGAATTCTCCATTGAATTGCCGATCAGATAGGTTCCCCCGGAGCTGCTGATGAGTTGTCCTCCCGTGACGCCCATCTGAATCCCACCAGTGCCCACCATACTGTGGGATGAGACCACGGTAGTCACCTGTGCAGAACTCCCTTGAGTATCAAAGTAATTCCCTCCAGTGTTTTGGCTGTACATCTGCGTTTCTGTGTAAGGATAAGTTGTTGTTCGGCTTTAGAAGAAGAAGAAAAAAGAAATTTACTAGCTTATTTATATCACCTTATTTCACTTTTTCTAGTGTGTATATATGTTTAAAATATATCCTTTGGAACATGACAAGTTTTGTATTTTGTATAAAACTTCATTTCCAGAAGTAGTTGTGTTTACTTTCCAACTTAAAGGTATGGTACATGCCTTTAAGTACCTCAACATGTTCTCTGTACTGTAGAACTCTTGCCCTCTACTTGTGTCTACCTCCAGCATATAAATAGGTTCAGGTCTCTTCCCCCCAAAAAGTCTTGCTGAGTGACTTCTTCAATTCCTTATAAAACTTCCTGCAAATCCCAGTTTTAGAAAAGTTGGGATCTGGCGTGAGTTGAGGCTGGTAAGTCAACTCCCTATGCTACTTCACATTCCAAGGTGACTTGCAATAACACTCCATGACTAAGGAAGCTTGCATGGATATCTTTCTTGCCACCATAAGGACCTTGAGCAGTTCACTCACATTGTACCCTAAGTCCCTATCTACATCTCTCTCTTCCTCTATACTCAAGATTCTCCTTGATGAATTACTATGCTAGCTCTTCACGCTGTCACTTTCCACTTCCTAACAACTGCAGTAAAGCTTCTGCTTTGGCCTTTTGTTGAAACTGCTTTTAATAAGGTCACTTGAGACCAAATCTAAATACCAAGATATTAGGGTTCTGTCAGTCCTTATCTTTGTTGACCAGTCTGCTAGATAGCATTGTTGACTACTCCGTGTTGCCCTTTCCCTGCTCTTTAGGTTCTGATTAAGCTTATTTCATTGATTTATTTTTCATTTCCAGTTGGTTATGACATTTTAACATGACTTTTTCACTTTTTATTTTAAGATAAGTATATGCTCACAAGAGGTTGTAAAAATAGTACAGAGAAATATAAAGTACTTTTACTAAAAATTCAAATATAAAGTTAAAATTCTGCTTGTCATTCTCTTCAACCCACATCTCAGAGCTAGCCACTACTGACGATTTAATGTGTAGATTTTCAGACATTTTTTATGTATACACTGGGTCTCTCTTAATCTCTCTTGTTCCTTAGTTTCTATGACACTTATTTTCCACTATTTACTTTCTCTATCACTACCTTTCAAGAACATGTCAAAGCTCCATTTTTATGGCACTTTAAACAATGACATCTTCTGAGGTCTCTATGTTTAGTTCTTATTCAGACCATATACCTTTACCATATACCATAGGACTATGTAGATGTTCACAGTAAACAATCTTGCATAAGTTGATTTCTCCACTCTCTTTACTTTCTAGTTATACTTAAGAATTTTAAATCTGGGTTTCAAATAGCCACCTGGTTATCTTTATTAGGAAACCCTATGCAATATGGGAGGTCCCATATATAAAACTTAAAAAGGAAATTCCTTCTCTCTCTCCTTTCCTGTGTTCCCTCTCTCCACAGAGAGCAGCATAGCCACTCTCAGCTTTAGAACTATTGCCTCTTTCCTCAGACTGACAGTAGTCACTAAGTCCTACCAATTTTACCTTCTAAATAGTTCTCCAACTCTTCTTTCCAGTCTTGTACTTAATGCATTAACTCATAACATTTTGCATTATAATTGCCTTCTAATTGGTTTTTCTGCCTCTAAGTCAGGCTCTTTTCCAATCTATTTTCAACTGTGCTGCCAGGGGAGTTTTTCTAAAATGCAAATACAAAAACAAAACTTTTCTTAAAGACCTTTCCAGGATTCTCTCTTGCCCTCAGGGGGAATTCAGAACCCTTGACTGACCTTACAAAACCAGTAGGGCTGGTGCCTACCTAATCTCTGGTACTAGCCATGCCCTCAAATGCTTTTTCCACTCACACCATCCTGGCCTTTTTACTGGTCCCCCAAAGAGCCATTTTCTCTTGCTTTTGTTTGTTGCACATGGTTTCCTCTGCCTGGAAGGCTTTTACATTTTTCTTCTACTCTCTTCCTATTTCCTTATCATTCATAAACTCTCAGCTCAAACATCACTTACCTTATCCCCAAATTATTTTTCTGTACCCCTTGCCCTCTCTGGTCACTATTCATAGGACTGTTATGCGCTGTTCTCTGTATTTTCCTAATGCATACTCTGTGCATACCTGAATCATAACTCTCAACATAGTTATTGTTGAATTCCTCATGTCTTAATACTCCCATGAAATTATGTTTTATTCCCATCTGTACCCTCAATACTTAACAAGTTTCTGGTACACTGTGAGCACACAAATCAACAGATAAAAATATAATCTGACAAAATAGCCAGTTTCATAAATTTATAAAACATAAAGACTTTTTTTTTTTGGTTAAAACATGAGAAACTATTCAAAGATTTGTCTATAGCATTTAAAACAGGTCATTTGAACTCATTATAAATTACACTTGTAAATTTAAATTATAAGCTTTAGTAAAATAATAATAGTGCTCTGAAAGTATTGCACACTGAGTAAGTTAATACATTCCAGTGACAGCCAGTGTAGCAGAAACAGGTAAGATTTTAGTTTTTTTTTTCTTTATTGATTAAGGTATTACATATGTGTCCTTACCCCCCTTTAACCCCCACCCCCCCCCTCATGCCTTCACCCCCCTGGTATCTGTGTCCATTGGTTATGCTTATATGCATGCATACAAGTCCCAACAACCCCATAGAGAACATTTTTTAAATAGAGAAAAAAAGCCATTTTAAACACATGTACAGTTCTTCTCTCATCATTGCTCTCTAGCTCCTATTGGGAGTCTCATCTATATATTTCATTACATACTGATAAAACAGTCATGCTGATTTCAAATTTAGGTAAAAAGACAAATGAGGTCACTCTAATTTATGTCCACTGGATATGACAGTGACCTTATCTGACTCTACTTAAAATAACACAATCTAGTATAGCCAAGTAAGGTATACAAATTGATACAGGACAATAAATACTTTGACAGAGGGAAGACATGGTGCTGGCTTTCATTTTCAGAGTCTTAACAAAATGCCCAAACATGCTCCCTAGTAATAACTTGATTTCATATATAAAACATAGTAATCACAAATGATAGCTAAAATACGACCATTTAATATGCAATGGGTACTATTCTATGTGCTTCAGGTATTTACTCATTTAATCTTCATTTCAACTCTATGAGATAGGTGCTATTACAATTCCTTTTGCACAGACAAGGTGAATAGGTTGAATAGCTTTATCCAAAGATAAGAATGGGTAAAAAATTATTTGTAATATGCACTGAGCCCATACTCTCAAACATTTTATCACATAAAAAGAACTTAACTTGTTATGTATGTAAATTATACTTGTGAATGACTATTGGGGAATAGCCTTAACAGGTGGTACAAGGGCCATATGATTTTCTGTTGCTATTTGGGATTTCCTTACATCTTACTTCACTGTTTACTGGCCCCACACTACTCTCCTCTCTCAACCAGAACAGGACCTGCAGATGCACTTGCCATGGTAAAGAGATAGAAAAGGTGGGACTATTTCAGAGGATACACCATCAGACACTTGGAATCAATAAATTTATGATCATGGAAGTTACTACTCTATCACAAGAGAAACATTTCAAGGAATTTACAACACTCCATCTTTGGGGCATGACTCCCTTTACAATTAGTTCTCAGTGAAGTAATATTAGTAATGCAAACAAATGAATCATCCTGATATATAAAAATCCTGGGTCCGTCACATCCACGACCAGGAGGCTCGACCAACCGGAAGTCAGTCTTGCCGTGGCGACCCAGCGTTGACTACTATGGCTGCAGGCACGGTGACCCAGCACTGACTGCTGAGGGGGCTGCGAATCAGGCCCAGAGAGAGGCCTGAAGAGAGAAGCAGGGTCTAATCCGTAGCCTCTGTGGCAGCTGTTGATCAGAACTTGCCTCTTTCTTTAGCTCCAGGCCTGGTCAGCAGCCGTGCCTCCATTTCTCTCCAGGCCTCCACCCTGACTTTCTGATCAGGCCCCGTTGACAGACCCAGAGATGCTGACTAGCATAGAAACTGACCATTCAGAACCAAATCTGGGTTAACTGTGAGGAGCCAATGGCTGCCTAGGAGGCGGAGCTTTTGATGCTGACTGGCATAGAAACCAATCAGAACCAAATCTGGGTCAACTGTGAGGAGCCAATGGCTGCCTAGGAGGCGGAGCTTTTGATGCTGACTGGCATAGAAACCAATCAGAACCAAATCTGGGTCAACTGTGAGGCAGGCTGGCAGGGGAGGGCAGTTGGGAGGCATCAGGCCAGCAGGGGAGGGCAGTTGGGGGTGAGATCAGGCCAGTAGGAGAGAGCAGTTGGGGGCAACAGTCTGGCAGGGGAGGGCAGTTGGGGGCGATCGAGCTGGCAGGGGAGCAGTTAGGTGTTAATCAGGCCGGCAGGGGAGCGGTTAGGGGGTGATCAGGCTGGCAGGCAGAAGTGGTTAGGGGAAATCAGTCAGGTAGGCAGGCAAGTGGTTAAGAGCCAGCAGTCCCAGATTGTGAGAGGGATGTCCGACTGCTTGTGGGATTAGGCTTAAACCAGCAGTCGGACATCCACCGAGGGGTCCCAAATTGGAGAGGGTGTAGGCTGGGCTGAGGGATACCTCCCCCAGTGCAAGAATTTAGTGCACTGGGCCTATAGTAGGTAAATAAAGTCTAGGTCTGTAGTCCTCAAGTCAGTATAAAAATATGGCAGCAAAATGAAATTCAACCTGCTTTTATTTTCATACTTCTCTCTAGTTAGAGATGATTCAAGAGATAGAAAATGAGCAAAGAATAAGACAAGGGTAAAAGTCACTAAAAAGTATGTCTAATTCATATACTGTCCTCATTACTGAGTCATGACCTATGTGACTGGGAAGACTTGGCTATTGCACAAACACACCCTGGGATAAAGACTGGCAATTTCTATGGTAGGGGAAAAAGGACAATTTTATCAGAAAATGAATTTGTCTCTGATGAACAATGTACACTTGCAATGAGAATAGAGGAATTTTAAACATTGGATTGGGTAATAGAGG